ATAGCCATCTGGGTCCCTGGTCCCTCCAGCACTGGAGAGTAGGGAAGGTGTTTACAGGTGGAGTGGTCAGCCTCTTGGCCAGAGTATGGATGACTTTCTCACCTTCTGGCCTAGGGGTCCTGGAGTGTGTGAACCTGCAGCCCCTTCCATCAGGGCAGCTCCACCCAAAAGTGCTTCCTAGTTTCCGGGCAAGACCCTAAGGAGGGAACTCTATTCTACCAGAAGAGGCATTGGGCTTGGTCAGCGGAAAAGTTACGTGTGCCTCAACAGAGTTTAAGGGGCCGCTCAGAGAAACCAGGGCTTCCCAGGTGGCTCAGTGGTAAAGAATCCACCTGAAGAGCAGGAAATGAGAGTTTGATTCCTGGATCAGGAAGATCCCCCAGAGGAGGAAAAGGCTAAGTCACTTCAGTTGTGTCCGACTCTGTGCGACCTCATAGATGGCAGCCCACCAGGCTCCCCCATCCCTGGGATTCTCCAGGCAAGAATACTGGAGTGGGTTGCCATTTCCTTCTCCAATGCATGAAAGTGAAAAGTGAAAGTGAAGTCACTCAGTTGTGTCCGACTCTTTGTGACCCCATGGACTGCAGCCCACCAGGCTCCTCCGTCCCATGGGATTCTCCAGGCAAGAGTACTGGAGTGGGTTGTCATTTCCTTCTCCAGTAAATGGTCCCAAAATGAATGAAGGACTGAATGAATGAAAGAACATGCTGGAGGGAAAAGCTGCCGTCGGCATCTCCCTGTGGCTGATGACGACAGTCAGGGCTGTTCACTGCCAGCTTCCTCTGTGCCGGGCACTGCTGGGCAAGCTCAGTCAGTCAATCCTCATTAACTACCCGATGGGGAGGGTGCCATTACCAACCCTGCTTATAGAGAAGACAGGCACAGAGAGGCTAAGCCACTTCTCCAGGACCGTTCAGCTCGTAAGTGGTGCAGCTGAGGCTTGGAACCCAGGCTGCCGGTCCCTGAGTCTGTGCTCTTAACCCTTTGGACTTTCTCGTCACCTGCCTCCAGGTGCTCTTGCCTGAAGAAGTGGACAGCTGATGGCTGCCTTATAGGCAGGCAACCCAGCCTGGGGGCTAGATCTTTCCATTTTCCCAGGGAATTAGGAATCAAGCTTTTTAAAAAAAATACATAAAAATTTTTGAATTAAAGTGTTACCAAGTGACTAAGTCTCTTATAAATTGTGTGAGTCCCCAAACCATTATCTGGGGGGCAAATTGAGCCCACAGCCTTCAAGTGGTTAATTTTCAGAGTCTACCGGACTGGCCTTCCAGATGCTGGAGCACAGCTGTGGCATCTTGCTCCCAGGATGAGCTGTGCCCATGTCTTCACAGTCGGATCTTCCAGGGCAGGAACTGAGTCTGATTGGAGCGTTTGGGGCACACTTGCAGACTGCCTGGCCCATGGTAATACACGTTCATTAACTTAATGGATGACTTCCTTCATGACTGGTTCCCAGTCCAATCACCACTTCTGAAGACTCCTGTATTTGTCTCCATCTCTGAGGGGTGGTCCCCAAAGGACTGTGTGTGGGTGGAGCAGAGTCGATGGGATGGTGTCCCCCCAGTACCCATTTCACCCTCTTCTGGGGGTGCCTCTCGGCTCAGTAGAGGCCAGAAAACCAGACACTGCGTTTCCCAGACTCCCTCTTAGCCGGGGTCTGGATGTGACACGGGTTCGGCTAAGCTGATGGCCTCGTGGAAGGCAGGCACAGCCAAAGTGAGGTGGAGACGAAGGGGATGCACCCAGCTGCTTCTGTGCCAAGCACGTGGTAGAGGCCAGGAGTGTTTTCATCCACGTCCCACCCCGGCTGGGTGAGCTGTGGGCGAGGTCTTTCTTCCAAGGGTCTCACTAGCAGACACAGGGTCGCTCGGAGGCCAACGGCTGTGGCACTGGCTTCTTGATTCCTCGACTGCAGTTCAGGTAACACAGTCTTTCATTTTGGCTGCGCTGGGTCTTCGTTGCTGTGCATGGGCTTTCTCTAGTTGTGGCGAGCGGAGGCTACTCTCTTAGATGCGGTGTGTGCGGGCTTGTCATGGCGGTGGCTCCTCTTGTTACAGATCAGGGGCTCTAGGGCACGTGGGCTTCAGTAGTTGTGGTTCCCCTCTTAGAGCACAGGCTTAATGGTTGGGGCACCCGGGCATGGTTGCTCCGCAGCATGTGAGATCTTCCGGGACCAGGAATAGAACCCATGTCCCTTGCCCTGGCGGGCGGATCCTTGTCCACTGTACCACTAGGGAGGTCCCAGGTGACACATTCCTGAGGCTGATCCCCCATCCTCCCTCCTGTGTCCTAGGTAACAGCTTTCCTGCCTGGCCCATTCGAGGATATTGGGTATACCGCTCCTGGAGGCCCAGCTCAACCTCATCCTCTTACCAGCCCAAGGATTTTGTAAGCACTCCCCCCATTCCCAGCCTTCCATTCATTTATGATTCAAATATTCTGGAGGTCTCCACTGTTAGGCACTGACTGACCCCTGATGGATTGGGTACAGAAGGACAATTACAGCCTTTGTGGCATCAGGAAGCCAGGGAATTAGCCATGATTAGGCCCTGTGAAGCGTGGGGCCACAGGGAGAGACCAGGGAGGGATGCTAATTAATCTTAGGCCAAGTCTTTAAATTGCACAGACTCCAGGGCCAGCCATTAAGTCACCGTCTAAGACGCAAATAACGGCTCCTGATAATAGAAGGCACTCAAGACAGCTTGGAGAACTGTCTGAAGTGAGAAGTGGAGAAAGGCCTCATTAATGGGAAATTAATATTCATTGCTGGGGACAAAAGGAAGCCTCCGGGCTGTGTGACCCGAGGGCCGTGCTCATCAGCAGCAAGATGAGGTTTGGGAGTTAGGCTGCAGGAACACCCCTGCCCATTTCATCCTAGATGTACAAAAGCACCTGCAGAGAAGTAGAACCACTGGGTCTGGAGTCACAGGCCAAGGGTCCAAACCTCAGCCTACTGGCCTCCGTCAGTATCTGTAGGAGCAGGTCACCTTGTTACCTCTCTGGGCCTTGATTTCTTCAGTGGCACAATGAGGATACTCACGGACCTCTGGGGTTATAGCAAAGATGGGCCGATAAAAAGTATTTACCATTCATGTTCACTTGTTGTTTGTATGTGCATGCTCAGTCGTGTCCAACTCTTTGCAACCCCATGAACTGCAGCCCGCCAGGCTCCTCTGTCCATGGGATTTCCCAGGCAAGAAGACTGGAACAGTTGCCATTTCCTTCCCCAGGGGATCTTCCCAACCCAGGGATCTAACAAGTGTCTCCTGCGCTGCAGGCAGATTCTTCACTGCTGAGACATCAGGGAAGCCCTAGTATTTACCATAGATCTGAACATGTGCTATATGTGGAGCCCTGGGTTATAGCTCATGGGGTCGCAAAAAGTCGGACATGACTGAGGACAGAACATACCAAGGTCACAGGTGAGGAGCAGGATATAGCACTGAAACATGTATATTACCATATGTAAAATAGATGACCAGTGCAAGTATGATGCATGAAGTAGGACATTCAAAGCTGGTGCTCTGGGACAACCCAGAAGGGTGGGGTAGGGAGGGAGATGTGAGGGGGATTCAGGATGGGGGGACACATGTGCACCCATGGCTGATTCATGTCGATGTACAGCAAAAACCACCACAATACTGTAAAGTAATTAGCCTCCAATTAAAATAAATTAATTAATTTAAAAAAAATCTCTGGAATTGACCAAGCCCCATAGCAATCAACTGTTGCCATGAGCCTCCAGATTTAAACCGGCCAGTGCCCTGACCCCGTATTAGGTAAAATACCCATCCTACTACTCACCCTAGAGCATCCTAACCAGTCACCTAAGGCCACCATTCCAACAGGAACTTCTGTCTTCAGGCTATAAAAATTGGCTACAAGCCTGTGAAAGGGTTTGGCTCTGCCTTGAGACAGCCTGCTGTTCTAACAGCATCTCCCTCTCCAATAAACTTTATTCTCCTCTCATTCTACCTCATATCTGGAAATTCTTTTCCAACTCGCATATGGACCATGACAGTATATATATATATATATATATATATATATATATATATATGTTGCTTAAGCCTCATCTCAGACCAAGTGAGCCAGAATCTCTGAGGGTGGGGCCTGAGCATCCCAGGTGATTCGAATGCACAGTGGGGGTCCCCCTGGTCCCAGGTAAGGCTGAGTAACCACTGGGGAAGGTGTAAGGACTATAGGAGCAAGAAAGCCGAGTTTGGAGTAACAGATTCAGATCTGGATCTTAATTCCACCCTTTCTCAGTGATTGACCTTGGAAAGCTCACTTAACATTTCTGAGCTTTTGTGCCCTCAGCGTCCTTAAAAAAGGAAGGACATGGGACTTCCCTGATGGTCCAGTGGTTAAGACTCTGCGCTTCCAATGCAAGGGGCATGGGGGTGGTTGCAGAACTAAGATTCCGCGTGCCACGTGGCATGGCCAAAAAAAAGTTGGAAGGACTTTGGAATATATCCTGTAGGTCTGCTGTGAGGGCAAAGGAGAGGAGTCATGTGGCAACTTAGCCCACGCCTAATACCGGCAGGTGCTCAAAAAAGCAAGCTGCCGGACCAGCAGCATTGGTAGCAACCTGATGTGGCATCTCAGGACTGTGGGTTGGGGGTGTAGTCTTATATACCCACTGTATCCCTGGCACCTGAGACTGTGCCTGGCATATCACAGGTGCTTAGTAAGAAGCAGCTGGTAAGAATGCATCATTACGACGGACTGTGAGTCGGACCTGTGATGCTGTGAGGCTGCCCCATCCAGAAGGGAGGATCATTTCACAGAGAGGGTTTGCGGGTCCCCAGGGCCCCTCCTCTCTCCAGAGGCCAGTGCTACAGGCAGAGAAGGCACCACGGCAGTGCCCAGCTAGACCCACCCCCTACCCCTGGGGATTCTGAACGCTTTACGTTTCTGCTCTCACAAGAAGCCTGCTCCTTATTCTAAAGTGTGAGCTGGGGCTACCGTCTTGACTCTGCCCTGGGTTTCCAGACCTGATGCCATCCTCGGCGCTGGACTTTGCTGGGAGCTGTCCGTGCACTGTGTCTCAAAGCTTCTTCAGCTTCTCGAAACAGAGTTCTTCGTCCACAATCTGCACAGAGATGAGGGGAAGAGAGTTGGTGAGCCCCTGAAGATGAGCCTACACTGATGGTGGTTTCGTAATTTACAGCTACAATGCCCATCGGGGTGCCCAGAGCCTTATCTGTGAAGCTCTTCACTTTAGTAGCACTCTTTGTAGCCACAAAGCATCAGAAAACAAGGTAAATGGGGACTTCCCTGGTGGTTAAGCAGTTAAGATTTCATGTTTCCAATGCAGAGGGCATGGGTTTGATCCCTGGTTGGGGAACTAAGATCCCACATGCTGAGTGGTGGGGCCAAAAAAAGAGAGAGAGAGAGAAAGAGAAAGAAAACAAACTAAATGCCCAACAACAAGGGATGGGGAGTCAGTCACAGCCCCTCAGCTATGGAGCAGTAGGTGTAACAGTAGGCAGCTGAACTGGGCAGGTCTACCTACAAAAGGAGCATCTCTAAGATACAGAAGCAGGTCAGGACAGCAAGCACAACAGGCCAGCGCTAGTGCAAAGGAGGGGTGCGGGGAGAGAACTGTTGAATGACTGAACATACCACTAGGGACCCAAATTCAGAAACTCCCATTGTCTGTCCTTCCCTGAACCTTAGAAAGGCCTGCTTCTCCTAACCAGAAGATCAGCCCAGCTCTCCCTCATGAAAGCTAGGAGAGTCCATCCCATTTCCCTCATTGTCTTGGGGGCTAGGAAACTCATGCTAAACTCCAAGTGGCTCTCCTAGGGGAAGGTTTGAAGACACCACTTTCTCCTTTTATCCCCTTGTTGTATTAATTTTTATTGCCTGTTAATGGCTTGGGATCTTACCATACCTATGAGCCAATGAGTTAGAACACAAATCAAGATTAGTGTGTTACAGGGAACTCTACTCAATGTTATGTGTCAGTCTGGATGGGAGGGGCGTTTGGGGGAGAATGGATACATGGATATGTGTGGTTAAGTTCCTTTTGCTATCCATCTGAAACTACCACAATCAGCTTTACTCCAGTATAAAATAAAAAGTTTTTTTAAAAGATTATTGTGTGCTGGACACTTTAGACTTCTTATCATTCAGTCTTCCTGGGAAATCTGTAAGGTGGGCATAATCACCCATTTTACTGAGGATCAGAGAGGACCCAATTGTCAGAGGTCTCAAAGCTGGCAAGGGGCTGAATAGGGTTTGAACCCAACCCAGCCTTGTTCCAAATCCTCTTCTCACCAGTAGCACGCTGGCCTCTCGGACAAAATGACAAGTCTTGAAAGGCACTCTGGCACTCATTCGTCCCATGTTAAAGATGAGAAAAACAAAGGTGCGGTGAGACAAAACAGCTTCCCCAAAGCAACACAGCCAAACTGTATCTGACTCCTGTGTGTGTGCGTGCGCTCAGTCACTCAGTCATGTCCGACTCTTTGCGACCCCATGGACTGTAGCCCACTAGCCTCCTCTGTCCATGGGATTTTGCCATTTCCTACTCCAGGGGATCTTCCCTACCCAGGGGTTGAACCTGTGTCTCCTTCATTGGCAGGCACTTCCCCACGTGGGAAGTCCCATTCTGACTCCTATGTGCTGCCATTTCATTCATTCTTGCTAAGTCGCTTCAATCGTGCCCGACTTTCTATGAACTCTTTATGGACTGTGGCCCACCAGCCTCCTCTGTCCATGGGATTCTCCAACCACCACCAAAACATTTTAGGGGCCTATATTGGGCCAACCACTGGATCGGGTGTCTTCTATTTCACTTCCAGATTTTATTTCATGTGTCCTTTTATTATAGGATACATGAAATCTGATTAAAGTTTGCAGAGTATGGATTAACTGAATTCAGACCTGAACAGTGGAATCAATTATCACAGGGGTTAGGTACTGAAGTTAGGACACAGTGAGTGAAAATCAGGTCTCACCAAAATTATCCTAGACCTTTCCTTAAATGACTGGTATGAGAGATCCAGGAAATGTAAAAGCCAGGAATTGACTTCTCTGGTCACCTTTGCCCTGCAGGAGTGGACGTCAAGACTAGTTTAAAAAAAAGTCTTAAAAAAAAAGAATCTCTCTCTCTCTGCCTCTCATTTCCATGCTGTCTCTTTCTGGCCAAGTGGAGAGAGTTAACTTGCATGGGCTGACTAGTTTCTGCGCATGGGATGTGGTTCCATCGGCCCTCACTCGTCAGCAGAGCTGGTGCTGATCTGGCATTCCTGTGCTCACCGTGAGTCCCCTCGGCGTGGGAGGTGCTTCTGGAGAAGTCAGAGTGGACGGCTTTCCGAGGGGATGCCTTCAGTTCGGAGTTGGCCCCGTTGACGTAGACCGAGAACCCCTGTTCCAGGTGCTCCAGCCTCAACTGCACGGGGTCCTTGGTTTTCAGATGCTTTAATATCCTGGAAGAGAAACGATCACCGGCATCTCATTGGAGGAGCCTGAGCCACCGCCCACCCCCATATGGGGAGGGACCTGCTGCTCTGACAAGCAAGCGTTTCTAATCAGAGGCTGGGTGGCGGGCGCCCAGCTGTTCATCTATAAACAGCCCTAAGAGGCCCATTACACACACGGAGGAGCAGGGAGGGGGAGGCTCCACGGGCGCTGCTTTCATTCTGAGGCTCAAAGATACATCAGCAAAAACCCGGGTACCATCCTTGCCCCACGGTGGCAGGGGGACAAAAAGCAGGTGTGTGTGCACGCTGCTACACATGGCCTGGATTTCCTGGGATGATCCCAATTTCATGTACCTCCCCTTGGTGTGGACAACAGCACTTTGTTCCACGTGGAACAAAATGTGGTCTAAGCCTCTGTAAGAGAGATTTCACGAAACACATCCTCACGTTGGAAAACAGCTTCCATCACACCAGGAGGACTGATTTTTGGCTTCAGGAAATAAATGTGTTCTCCAACACCCCTGATACCCCAAATGTCATTATTTTCCATTCAGATGCAACTTAAAAATATACCAGTGCAGGCTTTGTTCAAGATTAACGATGTGATGATCAAACCCTTTGCCTGAAAGGGGCCTGGCATAAGCGTGGTCAGGTTCCTTGTTCAGCTTTCTCCAGAGTCCAACCTCACACTTTGGCTTTGTCCTTCCCCCACTCCTGATGGTCCCTGCCAGGGACAGCGCCCAATGTCCATTTCAGAGTTGCTCCCATCTGACGCCAAACCCTTCAGAGCCTTTACAAACGCCTGCACACACTCCCACACCAACTAGGTTTCTTTTCGCAGAAGGAGAAATACAAACAACTGGCAAAAAAAAAGTGGATCCTCTTCAGTGATTAAATAAGTTCCTACCAAAGTAGCAAAATGTAAATTTTTAAAAGCGATAGTGGGATTTCCCTGGTAGGCCACTGGATAAGAATCCGACTTCCAATGCAGAGAACACAGGTTTGATCCCTGGTCTAAGATCTCACATGCCATGGGGCAACTAAGCCCACTTGCCACAGTGACTGAGCCCGAGTGCTCTGGAGTCTGCACACTACAGCTAGAGAGGCCTGTCTGTTGCAACTATGATCCGACACAACCCAATAAATAAATATTTTAAAATGTAATAGCAATGGTAAAACCATAAAAGGTAGAGAGCCAAACTCTGTTCTAAATGCTTTGTGCGCGGTGTGGGCTTACTTCAGTCGTGTCTGACTCTTGGCGACCCCATGGACTGTTGTCTGCCAGATGCCTCTGTCCATGGGATTCTCCAGGCATAAATACTGGAGTGGGTTGCCGTGCCCTTTTCTGGGGATCTTCCTGACCCAGCGATGGAACGAACCAGTATCTCTTACATCTCCTGCATTGGCAGGTGGGTTCTTTACCACCTGCGCCACCTGGGAAGCCTCTCTAAATGCTTTATATAGAGCCAGTTCCCATTGTTTGGGATCAGTTCTACAAAGTTGAGGCAAACACTGAATTTGTGAATATGGAATCACTGTTTCCAGGGGAAAATACAGGATTTGATTCCTGTGAGCCTCTGGTCACAACGTGTTCATCAACTGATCAAAATAAAACCTTGCTTTATACTGTTTATAATAGCCAGGACATGGAAGCAACCTAGATGCCCATCAGCAGATGAATGGATAAGAAAGCTGTGGTACATATACACAATGGAATATTACTCGGCCATTAAAAAGAATTCATTTGAACCAGTTCTAATGAGGTGGATGAAAATGGAGCCCATTATACAGAGTGAAGAAAGCCAGAAAGAAAAACACCAAAAACGCATATATATGGAATTTAGAAAGATGGTAATGATAACCCTATATGCAAGATAGACACAGATGTACAGAACAGACTTTTGGACTCTATGGGAGAAGGCGAGGGTGGGATGATCTGAGTGAACAGCATCGAAACATGTATACTATCAAGTGTGAAACAGATCGCCAGTGCAGGTTGGATGCATGAGACAAGAGCTTGGAGCTGGTGCACTGGGATGACCCAGAGGGATGGGATGGGGAGGGAGGTGGGAGGGGTGTTCAGGATGGGGAACATATGTAAATCCATGGCTGATTCATGTCAATGTATGGCAAAAGCCACTACAATACTGTAAAGTAATTAGCCTCCAACTAATAAAAATAATTGGTAAAAAAATAAAAAAACAAAAAACAAACAAAAAACCCCTTGCTTTATGTGTGTTTCCGTTTAAAGGCACCTTATTTAATATATTGGGCTTCTCTTGTGGCTCAGCTGGTAAAGAAACTGCCTGCAATGCAGGAGACCTGGGTTCGAACCCTGGGTGGGAGAGATTCCCCTGGAGAAGGGAAAGGCTACCCACTCCAGTATTTAATATATATTGATACTTAATACAGTAACACTGAACTTACGCCGGCAGCACTCCAACTCATGACTGAATGAAGCTTATCTAACACGTGTATTTTCTCCACAAGGGACATCATAGCCTTCTTGGGCTTAGGAATGTGGGACAGCACTTCAACCTTATGCCAGGGACCAGTTTAAACAGGGAAGTCACCAGTGAAAAACACAAAAATGTGAAAAAACAGGACAGTAAGTAAAACACAAAAAGGACACTTTACTGTATATGGTAAGGGCTTCCCAGGTGGCGCAGTGATAAAGAATTCACCTGCCAAAGCAGGAGATGCAGGAGATGCGGGTTTGATCCCTGGGTCGGGAAGATCCCCTGGAGGAAGAAATGACAACCCACTCCAGTATTCTTGCCTGGGAAATCCCATGGACAGAGGTGACTGGTGGGCTACAGCCCACGGAGTCACAGAGAGTCGGACACAACTGAGCATGCACGCACACAGTATAAGATTTTTAAAAAGCACTGTAAGTATTGATTCAGGGGTTACAAATACATTGTAGTGGGTGGATAAATCTGCAAATATGGAATAAGGATTGACTGTATTAAGACTTTAATCTTAGACATTTCTCCAAGGAAGACATACAGATGGCAAAAAAAAACACATGAAAAGATGCTCAACATCACTCATTATCAGAGAAATGCAAATCAAAACCACAATGAGGTACCATTACACGCCAGTCAGGATGGCTGCTATCCAAAAGTCTACAAGCAATAAATGCTGGAGAGGGTGTGGAGAAAAGGGAACCCTCTTACACTGTTGGTGGGAATGCAAACTAGTACAGCCACTATGGAGAACAGTGTGGAGATTTCTTAAAAAACTGGAAATAGAACTGCCATATGACCCAGCAATCCCACTTCTGGGCATACACACTGAGGAAACCAGATCTGAAAGAGACACGTGCACCCCAATGTTCATCGCAGCACTGTTTATAATAGCCAGGACATGGAAGCAACCTAGATGCCCATCAGCAGACGAATGGATGAGGAAGCTGTGGTACATATACACCATGGAATATTACTCAGCCATTAAAAAGAATTCATTTGAATCAGTTCTAATGAGATGGATGAAACTGGAGCCCATTATACAGAGTGAAGTAAGCCAGAAAGATAAAGACCATTACAGAATACTAACACATATATATGGAATTTAGAAAGATGGTAACGATAACCCTATATGCAAAACAGAAAAAGAGACTCAGATGTATAGAACAGACTTGTGGACTCTGTGGGAGAAGGCGAGGGTGGGATGTTTCAAGAGAACAGCATCGAAACATGTATATTATCTAGGGTGAATCAGATCACCAGCCCAGGTTGGATGCATGAGACAAGTGCTCGGGCCTGGTGCACTGGGAAGATCCAGAGGGATCGGGTGGAGAGGGAGGTGGGAGAGGGGACCGGGATGGGGAATACATGTAAATCCATGGCTAATTCATTTCAATGTATGACAAAAACCACTGCAATGTTGTAAAGTAATTAGCCTCCAACTAATAAAAATAAATGGAAAAAAAAAAAGACTTTAATCTTTACAATAACCCTATGGGGTAATTAATTTTCTTAACCTCATTTAATAGATAAGGAAACTGGAGCCCAGAGAAGTTAAGTAACTTGCCCGAGGTCACACAGCTGGTATGGCACGGGGCTAGGATGCAAATTGAAGCAGTGTGGCTCCAGAGTCTTCGCCACAACAAAGACAACTTTAAGAGCTAGAAAGTTGAAACTGACAAGCTTAGACATGGCTGGAAACAGAAAATGTCATGCACTTGGTCTCCGCTCAGTCAGCAAATAGTTTCTCTGATCAGGAACAATGGTCGGCATTCAGTCCTAACAAAACCACGAGAGCGACCAGAATGTCCCACACTAGGTAGTGGAAGCCAAGATCTCCTGTAGCTGTTATAATTATGAAGATTCTGTTGAAACATGGGGGGTGTTTGTGATCTGTTCAGAGAGGGGTGGAGAAGGCAGGATAAAAACAGTACCTATGCGATAAGCACAAAGTTGGAAAAAAGTGTGTTTGTGGGACCCAGAGTGGAAGGTGATAAATGTGAAAATTAAATCAGCGGTTGAGGGAAGGTGGCGGCGTTATGGGTGATTTCTTTGTTTGCTTTTTTAAATGTTTCTTTAGTGGTTGATACATCCATCTTTTCGGCAATCGTGGCAGGAACATTCATTACAGACTGCTTATCTCTTGCCAGCCTCTGAAGCCTGGGAGATGCCTGATTATTGGGCAACAGCATAAAACAGAAGGAAAACACAAGTAACTAAGAGACAGTTTCCAAACACGGCAGTAGTTGCGTTCTCTGGCGCAAACAATCAAAGGACGCAGTGGATACCATTGGTCCCCGGGGAGGGAGAGCAAAGAACCCAGGCCCTGCGAGACCCTGAGATGGTCGGCAGGTGGAAAAATCTGACCACCTGGCCAGGCAGTGCCTGCCTCCACTTCCTTCCAGAGTCACCTTTCCTCCTGATGCTTCCTGAACGGTCGCCGTGGCATCCTGCTACCTGAGCTCTGTGGCTGATGCTCCACGTGGGTCTCTCTTTAAGCAGACTGATTTATGACAATGTGGATTTATGAAACTAATA